AATAAAACTATACTTAAACCATTAAATTCTACGTAAAAAGGTGCTTTGGAAATGTTTTCATAGAAATACAAAATTTTCCATAGCAAAAAAGTTACAGCGATTTGTTAAAAATGCACATTTTTGAAAAACACCCCGTAACTTCGAAACGGTAAAAGATATTGATGTCCGGTTTTCACCATCATGTTTTGATGAAAATTAAGGTCCAGACACCAATATTGGTTTTCGTCTATCTCCTATAGAAAAGGGTGTTTCCATTTAAAAGCGTCGAATTTGATCCACCCTGTACATAATTGGATATAGCATAATATTTTGCGGGTCCCAAATAGTTGTCCCAAAATGGTTGAGTAAGCTCAAAAATGATGATTCCTTTTCTAAATTGAACACTATTGTATTGAAAAATAATAATTTTTATTGCCCCAACACTATTTCATTCATTTTTAATCGCTCCGGAGTACCCTACATCCAAAGCTATTACGTCATTATGCATTAACAAAATAAACGTTTTTTACCTGAAATTAAAGAAAACGTTTCTGATATATCACGATAGTTCTGTACACGAGCCAAACTGCAGAAAAAATCACCTATTGTTTTGTGCAATACTCTCTGAGCGTTTTGTTGCCGGAGAACAAGATTGCATTTGTTTATGTTCGCTGTTATTTATTGGAACAAAGCCAGCATTTACCAGAAGATGTAGGTTTGAAATCTACTTAGGTATCTGAATACCTGACATATCTATGTACGTCAGCAGTTGTAACTACATAGTTTAGAGTAGGTTTACGGATGCACTTATTCTTATATTAGCATAAATAAAAAATGTCTAGCAAATAAAATATATACAGGGTGGCGCTTCTCATACGCAGCGGAGGCTCCAAGTTGAACGACAGTTTGATAGCTGACGTTACTTCAACATAGCCGTCTAATTAGTCCAACTTTAACAACTAGTTATCATTTTGTGTCAGTAAAAACAAAAAAATTCTCAGAAATTCGCCGAAAATGCAACCTTATCCTTCATCAGAGAGAATTGATATGATTCTATTAGTTGGTGAATGCATTGTGCATTCACCAATTAATAGAATACTGAAATGCTCCTGATTTTATCTATATAGTCTGGATTTTTTTATGAGGATATGTTAAAGACAGTGTTTACAAAACTTGACCAACTAGTGTAGACAACATGGGAGAAATTATTGTAGCTGCTTTTCGAACTCCACATATGCATTTTAAAATGAAAAGTTACTTTAACAGGAAAGGAAGCATTTTGAGCATTTGGTTTCATCTAGCTAATTTTTGTCGCATAATTATAGGTTTATTATTCTGTAATAATTAAAATATGTTTTAAACGTGTATCTTTTTATTACCCTTGAGTATTTTACTCTACAATCTTTAATTTTTGTTAAATTAACAAAAAGTGTATCATACAGCCACCTAGATTTTTTTCAAATAACAAAGATTTACTGACGCAAAATCATAAAAATTAAATTATCTAGGAAAATCTTTATCTGAGGGGTAGGCAACCTTAATAATATTTTGAAGATATAACACCGGAAAAATATACTGAGTGTTCCATTTAAAATAAAAAAGTAACTTGCTTTTAAAAATGACTAATGTTCCATATTAATTTTGTCTCACCCTGTATAACTTTTCGGGTCAAATTTCAATTTGGTTTAACATACAATGGTTACTGTAATTAAATCTCAGGCTATACAAGGTCAACTAAAAGTTAGGTAGCCGTTATCGAAATTTAAAATTTACTCTTCATTTTCACAAAATGTGAAATATGTCAAAATCCTTAGATTTTAGGTATATGCTTCTTTAATAAAACTCACCTTTATTTTTTTCCTAGAATCCGAAAATCAATTAATATATAGGGTGTTCCATTAGAAAAAACAAAACTTTGATGCGTAACTTTTTTGCGGGATACCCTGTATAATTCTATATATTTTAAAAAAATGCTTCCAGTTAACCTACATAGGCGCCACCCTGTATACTCAAACAATTTAATTGAAAAGACTATTTACACGATCGACACAAAACTGCTACCATTCCTAATAAGGAATAAATTTAAAATTTTCAAAAAATGCATGTATTATTACAACTACGCACTGACCACAAGAATGTGGACAGAAAGTACTTAAAGAACCATATTACATCATAAAATACTAATCAGTGTTTGTAGTATTTCGTACTATATTCAATTTTGTGTACGTTTTAACTGAATTAAAAGCAACATGCTTATTACTTTGTGCATGTTGTGATTGCAAAAGTAGTTATCTACACCCAAGGCTGTGTTATATTAGTTGACTAATATTAATTTATACCTCGGTCATGTTAACAAAAAAAAATAATAATATTGTAATAACACTTCTCAAAAAAACTGTGTTTATGATCTGAAGTACATTAAAAATTGCTCAATATAGCCTCAGTAGCAAATACTAATTCTAGGGTATGCATATGCATATCGTAGTGTAATAGCTATATTTATGTTTTATATTAAAGTTGTACAGGGTGAAGATTTAATCGATATCTGATTTAAAATTGTTCTTATGCAGTAATTGAGTTTCGCAGAGATTCAGAGTATTATGGCTTTAAGTCTTGCAGTGCGATTCTGTAAAAATATTTTCTTTCCAGTGACTCAGCAATCGGCTTAAAATATGGTAAGTTAGGCAAGAAATTTCTTGCTACGGAGCTTATAGAACCCCACTGCTGCATGTCTTCAAATATTAAATGAATTTTGATGATTAGGAAAATTCAGAAAGCTAGCTACTAAGAAATTTGTTTCCATAGATTTTTAGACCATTGAATTTTTATGTTAATGCATAAGTATATTTTTTTTACAAAAGTATAAAAGTTTTTACAATAGTACAGGGTGGCGCCTCTCATACGCCGCGGAAGCTCCAAGGAGAACGGTAGTTTATATCGAAATAAAATTTTGACAGCATATGTAGGTTAACTGAAAGCATTTTATAAAAGTATATAGAGTTATACAGGGTGTCCCCAAAAAAAGTTACACATCAAAGTTGTGTTTTTTCTAATGGAACACCCTATATATTAATTGATTTTCTGATTCTAGGAAAAAAATAAAGGTGAGTTTTATTAAAGAAGCATATACCCAAAATCTAAGAATTTTGAGATATTTCATATTTTGTGAAAACGAAAAGTAAATTTTAAATTTCGATAACATCTACCTGAATTTTAGTTGACTATGTATAGCCTGATATTTAATTACAGTAAACATTGTATGTTAAACCAAATTGAAATTTGACCCGAAATGTTATACAGGGTGAGACAAAATTAATATGGAACATTAGTCACTTTTAAAAGCAAGTTACTCCTTTATTTTAAATAGAACACCCAGTATATTTTTCCGGCGTTCAATGGAGAATTTATATATCTTCAAAATATTATTAAGGTTGCCTACCCCTTAGACAAAGATTGTCCTAGATATTTTAATTTTTATGATTTTGCGTCAGTGGATCTTTATTATTTGAAAAAATCTACGGGGCTGTGTGATATACCTTTTGTTAATTTAAGAAAAATTAACGATTGTAGTGTAAAATATTCAACGGTAATAAAAAGAAACAACATATTTTAATTATTACAGAATTAAAACTAGATATAAAACTATAATTATGTGACAAAAATTAGCTAAAATGAAATCAATCAAATACTCAAAATGCTTCCTTTCCTGTTAACTGCATAAAACGATTGTCTTTTCAAGAGGATCTTTTCATTTTAAAAAGCGTATGTGGAGTTCTACCTCGAAAAGCAGTTACAGTAATTTCTCTCACGTTGTCGACAATAGTTGGTCGCGTTTTGTAAACACTGTCTTTAACATATCCCCATAAAAAACAGACTAGATAAAATCAGGAGCATTTAAGTATTCTATTAATTGGTGAATGCACACTGCATTCAACAACTAATAGAATCATGTCAATTCTCTCTGATGAGGATAAGTTTGCATTTTCAGCAAATTTCTGAGAATTTTTTTTGTTTTAACTGACACAAAATGATAACTAGTTGTTAAAGTTGGACTAATAATTAGACAGCTATGTTGAAGCAACGTCAGACATATCACAGCCACCTAGATTTTATCAAATAATAAGGATTTACTCAGATCAAATCATGTAAATGAAAATATCTAGGAAAATATTTGTTTGAGGGGTAGGCAACCTTAATAGTATTTTGAAGAGACATGAATTCTCCATTGAATATCGGAATAATATACTGAGTGTTCCATTTAAAATAAAAGAGTAACATGCTTTTAAAGGTGACCAATGTGCAATAATAATTTTGTCTCACCCTGTATAACTTTTTAGATCAAGTTTTAATTTGATTTAAAGTACAATGGTTAATTTAACTACATATTAGGCTATACCGGGTAAATTCCAATTTAGGTAGCTTTTATTGTAATTTAAAAATTTTTCTTCATTTTTAGAAAATGTTAAATATGTCAAAAACCTTACATTTTAGTCATATACTTCTCTGGTAAAACTCACCTTTATTTATCTCCCAGAATCCGAAAATCAATTAATATATAGGGTGTTCCATTACAAAAAATACAACTTTGATCTGTAACTTTTTTTGGGGACACCCTGTAAAACTCTATATTTTTAAAAAGTGCTCTGAATTAACCTACATATGCTCACAAAATTTCATTTCAATACAAACTGTCGTTTTCCTTGGAGCCTCCGTGGCGAATGAGAGGCGCCACCCTGTATATTATTTTATTAAAAATAAAAAATAATACTACTAGATAAAATACATTTTGTATGTAATTATATATCGAGAAACTATGGTTACGCTCGTTGAATTTGACACTTTTTGTCAGTTTAATAATATATCTTCGTACTTTTGTGCTTAGGCGTAAAAGTGCTTTACTTTTATGCCTAGGCGTTAAAATGACTTTTTTACAGGGTGCAGTGATTTAAATCAAGATATAAAGTGTTATTTAATAATAAAAGGTTGCTAAAGTAAAATTAACATAATTTTAATGGACTTACCTGATTTCTTTCTGACAAATATGCTCTCCCAATAATTTTTTCCATGCTGACACATTGGTAACAACATACAAGAAAAACGAAAACACAAGAACACTAACCTGGAACACAAAACAACACTTTTTTAAATTCCAAGAAAGAAAATTATCACTCAATAGCAATATTTACATATATTTTATTTTCTACTAAATTTATTTATTTATTTAACATTACAATTCATGTATACAGGGTGTCCGGCAATAGTGCGTCGGGAATCTGTAGCTCCTAGAATAAAAAACTTGGGAATATTGTTTAAGTGTAAACCTAAAGTATGTACGAGCATGTATTTCAAAAAAAATATTTTAACTTCTATAGAGTGACTCAAAAAAGTGTGAATGGATTGGGACTATTTTTTTAAATGGAACCCCCTGTATATTATTTCTTTTTTGGCTTCCTTTCAGATCACTTTACATAGTCCTAAGATATGAGTAAATATATTTCGACAGTTTCAGAGATATTATTAAATAAATAAAAAATATATTTTCAGGCTTTGTTAAGAAAAATATTAAAAATACAAGAATTATCCTGAAATCAAAATTATATTTGGTATTTACGGTATTACTTTGCTATAAATATCGTAATCTTATATCATACAGGGTGTTCAAAATTCTACGTCAAACTTTCTAAAATATAAAATAATGTTTCTTCGTTTATTTAAATGGAACACCCTGTATATTATTCTTTCAATAGATGGAGAATTAAAAAATGAACATTTTTGGTATTCAGAGTATTTCAAAATTTTTAACGGTTTCGAAGATATTCGCGGTTTTATATTTCATATGGCATTTTCCATAGTAAATTTTTATCAAAGCCACTCAATAATTTTTTTCTCTCGTATTTTACCGTTGAAAGAGCCATACGAAGCCATACCGCAAATATCTGCAAAACCCTTAAAAATTTTGAAATACTCTTAATACAAAAAATATTCTTTTTTTTGTTGTATTTGTAATATTAATATCTCTGAAACTATCTAAATCTATTTGCTCATGTCTTAGGATTATGTAAAGGAAGCCAAACATGCAATAATATACAGGATGTTCCGTTTAAAAAAAATCACCCCGATCCACTCACAGTATTTTGAGCCACCCTGTAGAAATTAAAATATTTTCCTGAAATACATCCTAGTACATACTTTACGTTTGCACGGTATTTAAACAAACAAAATTCCCGAGTTTTTTTATTTTAGGAGCTACACACAGATGTAGATGACTGTATATATTTTTTTAATTATAATTTTTTGTCCATTTTCGTTTGATTTACCTTTCCAGTCATTCTTCTTTAATATCCATAGATATACGATCACTTTTTAACTAAACTACTAACAAAATAACTAAGCGTACACTAAAGCCACTACCAATGGGAAAAATGTCTTGAAAAAAATACTGCAGGACAAAACAATCTTATCTTTTGCATCTGACTCAGCTAATCCAAGCTAATCTATGAGAAAAAGCCTTGCTCGCAACTCTTGAATGAACAGAGACCCGCTGTGTTTGTTTTAATGATATTATTAGGCATATATTTCATCTCTCTTACTGTATGCCGATTGGTGTAATGTGTATGCGTGAGCCTCTATCATCTGTCATCTGTTTAATCCATTTTAATAAAATAATTGCAGAGAGGAGATGTTTGTTAGTGTCCGGCGACCAATTGAGCTTGAGTTGCCGATTGTTGTTGGTTCAGAGTGGTAATTTCATTATTATGCCAGGAGTTATTAAGGGACAATTACGCTGTACTGCTCGGGTCGCTGGTCAACTGTACTGTATCCTTTTCTGAAGCCTGCTTGTTCTTTTGCTTGGTATCCGTCAGATTTTGTTGTTAGTCTATCGGTTAATATTTTCGTGAAGGGCTTATAAATTACGTTAAGGAGTGTTAGAGGAAGATAGTTTTTTAGATCTGCCCTATCACCTTTTTTATGTAGGATGATGGTTATAGATTCCTTCCGGTCGTTTGGGATTATTTTTTCTATTAGGATTTTATTCAGGAGAATATAAAGAGTATTAACTACAGCTTTTCCGCCGTACTTTAGCATTTCTGTTGTTATTCCGTCTTTTCCAGATGATTTGTTGTTTTTCATTTTCTTCAATGCTCTCTTAATTTTCGATTTGCTTATTTCAGGTTGTAGTTCTGAGTTTACGTTTCTTAAAAAATAACTTATGATCGAAAAAACGGCGTCAAGTTAGCTCTGACATGACAATCGATGACATTCATCATATAATTTTAGATACGAAATTAGACAGCGATTTTCATTTCCTAGCCAACTTTTACGCCGTTTTTTTTTTCGATTGTGTGGTACCTATATCTGCATATACACATATCTTTCTTATTTTTTTTCTTCTTAATCTATATGAAAAAATGTGACAATACAATTTCACATTCTCTTGACATATACTTTCAGAGTGAGAAATGAGAATACTCCTTATAGTCCAAAAAATTGACCTTTAATCTCTCTATAGTTTTTTGCCTCAGATCAAAATTAACCGAGATAGGGTGGCTAGAAGATGATAGTAGAAGAAAGAGGATGATAGTAGAAATTTTAAAAAAAATATAAGTTGCTGAAAAATTCATATATTTAACATTTTTATTCATTTTGTTTGGAAAATTATAAATTTCAATTATTTTTTTTTAAATTCACCCCGAGAACGAGTGAAAAATATAAAGTGTTTTTTTTTCAAAAATTTCAAAAGAAACGGTCAGGACTATAAAATAAAAATGTTTAAATAAAAGCTGCCCCCTAGCCCCTAGCCACCCTATCTCGGTAAATTTTTAATTTAAGCCAAAAAAGTATAGAGACCATTTATATGTAAAATTGGATGCTCTCCAACTACAAGAAAGTAGATAAGTACCTAAATTTTAACTCAATCATGGCCAAACAAAATTTTTCTATGTAAATGTTACGGTTAAAGTCCGATGACCGGTTAATGTCGACATTAACAGGTTAATGTTTGGGTTTAGTTATGTTTTTGGTTGTTTTGTTGTGTGTTATTCTTGAGATTAACCGGGTCATGTCGACATTAACCGGACATCGGACCTTAACCGTAACATAGATATTGCTTCTAGTATAAATCTTTCAAAAAAGTGCAACACTTTGTCAGGTCAGGACCAAGATCAAGACTAGTTCCTGCATTACTCAAAATCAAGACTAAGTCTAGTATTATACTGCAAGACCAAGATCAAGTTCATGGAGTTCTTGGTCTAGTATTTGCTCATCACTTGCTCATCACTTATAAAATACTACATTTTTGTTTTTATCACTCTGAATTTTTAACGATAAGCAAAGGAATGCTAAATTGGCGTATCTTATAAACGGACAGACTATGAGAAATAAAATATTCTGCAAAATGTCTTTAAGAACATAAGAGTAAACAATCAACATTGAAAATGCAGTTTGACACACGGAAAACTCGATCTGAAATTGGCGTTTTGCAAACTGTTGTGTCCTGAGGATTTAGCGCATGACGTGTGTCATTTTGCACACGACATGTGCCAATTTTAATATTTTTAACCTCCAATGTTTAGCTGAAACGCCAAACGCAACGCAGCCGTCACAAAAGTGTCATCATTACATCGCAAATTATTTCACAAAACTGGCAAAAACTGAGTGAGTCTGCTGCTAATTTGTAGTCGTAGAAAAAATAGCGTAAAAAACTCGTTCGAAAACTTCTTTGTGCACTCGTTCGACTTGTGGCTGCCTGCGGCTCGAGCCAACAAACTGTCAACCTCGTGTGCAAAACGTCGTTTTCGAAACTCGTTGTTTAATATACTATTTTTGACGCTCTGTTTATGATCTTTGCATAGTATCTATAACTTTAGTTTTTGCTAAATAACTTTTGAGAGCTACTTTATTGTTGGCTGTATTTATTTCGTTGATATGTGTTTGTAGTTCTTCAGGGCTATCGTTAATTAGGACTATGTCATCAGCGAATCTTGGATGGCTAAGATATTCTGCATTTATTTGTAATCCTTTGTTATGCATATTGTTTTGTTGTTGTTTTCATTTGAATTTTAGTTATATGGGACACCCTGTATATTTTTAATTTATTGAAGAAAATTTAAAATTACCATTCCAAAAATATGCACACTTGATATTTTGCTCAATTCCTCTTCGAGATATAGAGTATATAAATATTCGCCCGCTTAAAATAAGTAGGCTTTAAACGGCACCGGCTGTAATGCAAAAAAATTCTAGCTGTGAGCATCAATTAAAACGAAAATAATATTTGCTATGAGAGATGCAGAATTTTATAACAGTTTAAAATATATTTAACCAACATCAACATATTTAAACTATATCTAATAACAATAAAAATAAATAGCAAACCAAGACATGAGATTTTGCTACAGGTGTTCGACATATCGACCGTCTTCTGTTATGGACAGACGGGGCAGTTTTTGAACATTTTTCGCGGAATTCATTAACTCAGTAGGGTTGAAAGATACCCTCTCATAACTGCTAAGTATTTCTAATTCTTGTCTAGATTATACGGAAAAATAAGGAACTTTTATTCTTCCGCAAATATATCCACAGGATTAGATCCATGGGCACTAAGTCAGGCGGCCTCGACGGCTAACGGCAGGGATCTTGGTTAGCTATTCAATTATTCATGAAATTGGCTGCAAAAATTTGCTGATAACTTCAGCGTTCTGAGGCGGTGCGTCGTCTTGCTGGAAAAATATGTTTTCGAGTTCCGTTAAGGGCATATCATCAATAAGGTGTCCAAAGCCTACTAGTTAAAAGTGGTGAACTTTTAAAAATTCTGTATTTCGAAGGGGATTATAACAAAATATCAAGTGTGCTATATTTTTGGAAAGGTAATTTTAAATTCTTTTCAGTTTATTAAAAATACAGAGGGTGTCCCAAATAAAAAATCAATTTTTCTGTTGATAACTCTTAAATTATTAATTTTAAAAAAATTATACTTAAACCATTAAATTCTACGTAAAAAGGTGCTTTGGAAATGTTTTCATAGAAATACAAAATTTTCCATAGCAAAAAAGTTACAGCGATTTGTTAAAAATGCACATTTTTGAAAAACACCTCGTAACTCCGAAACGGTAGCAGATATTGATGTGCAGTTTTCACCATCATATTTTTGATGAAAATTGAGCTCCAGACACCGATATTAGTTTTCGTCTATCTCCTATAGAAAAGGGTGTTTCCGTTTAAAAGCGTCGAATTTTACCCACCCTGTACATTTATTCAGGGCGGTTGTCAATAGGGTTATATGGACCAACATGATTGCCAACATCCATATAGGCACTGAAAGAAGAAGAAGAGAGTTAGATTCACACTATTTCAGACACCGTGTACATAACCGTTAATACCGATAATTACGTCACTCCGTACTACTTAAATAAGAGAGTACCACGAAGATTTATATCTCGATACGGCCAGTCACCATCTCGCTTTAAGATATTAATTAATTTAACAGTTAAATGAGTCCGTACAATGATGGCTTACGATTAACTGTGAAGCAAATTGACAAAGCAGACGAGGGGAATAAAGAAACTGTCTTATTATAATTTGGTTTTGTAAGAGTGTGTTTAATGTTACCATTGATTTTCTGTCTACGTAATTGATGTGTATAATTACGAAGTGATTGATTTATATAATTATGAAAATTATTTAGTTCTGGGGTTATAAAAATTAAATTTGAATTTCTGATATTATGTGACCTAAGGTTTATTTGCATTTATTACTTTTGTAAGTGTTGAGATTGTCTCTGATTTTTGTTTCATCAACTGTTACCGTTTCAGAGTATAACTTTGTATTTTTATGAAAACATTTCCAAAACACCTTTTTACGTAGAATTTAATGTTTTAAGTATATTTTTTTTTAATTAATTATTAAAGAGTTATCAACAGAAAAATTGATTTTTTATTTCGGACACCCTGTCTATTCTTAATTAACTGAAAAGAACTTAAAATTACCTTTCCAAAAATATAGCACACTTGATATTTTGTTATAGTCCCCTTTGAAATACAGAATTTTTAAAAGATCGCCACTTTTAACTAGTAGGCTTTGGACCTCTTATTGATGATCTGTCCCTAATGAAACTCGAAAACATATTTTTCCAGCAAGACGAGGCACCGCCTCTCAACGCTAAAGTTATCAGCAAATTTTTGAAGCCAATTTCGAAAATAACAGAATAGTTAGCGAAGATCCCAGTCGGTGGTCGCCGGACTTAGTGCCTTATTAGTGGATTTTCATCTTTGCGGAAGAATAAAGGTTCTTATTTTTAAATTGCCCGTATAAGTTTAAATATGTTGATGTTGTTAAATATAGTTTAAATTATAAAATTCTGCATCTCTCACTGCAAATATTTTTTTCGTTTTAACTGCTGCTCACAGTTAGATATCTTGTCTTGAAATATTTTCAAGAATTAAAAAAAAAATCTTGTCTTGACCATTTCTTGAGAGTTGATTTCTTGTCTTGATCAACAAGGGAACCCCCGTTTAAAATTCGTTTATTAAAGGGGAACCCCCTGTTTAAAAGTCGCGGTGAGATTGGTTAATGTGATGTTTATGCTTTACCTATGCGTAAAATCGAGGGTCAGGCATCTAATTTTCAAAAAATTCTAAAACTTATTATACTACAGTATAGCCAGAATCA